ATATGAGCTAAAAACTTTCTTTTTAATGGAAGTGCAAGTTTAAGCAGAATGGTGATCAATAATCCTGTGGGTGGTTTTTTTATTCAAACTAATCATGCAGATTCCTTTCCTTTGTACTACAGGAACACTAAACTGTAAAATGCCTTTCAGATAGAAAAACGTTTCTATTAGAACCTCCACATACCTGTAAAGTGACTAGAAGAGTTTTGTCTAGTTAGTGTGTTGCAACATGCAAAGGCAAAGCGCACAAGCTTCTGAACTCAGAATTTGTCAGTTAGGTGGAAATGCTGGCTTGCAAGCAAATCCATACGCAAAAGAAATTTACTGATCATATAGGATGTTTACTACAAAACAAACAAACAAAACTCCCCAAACTCTGAAAGCTAATTATTGCCTTTCACTATGGAAAGCTGGGCAGCTTGGCGTAGTTTTCGCAAGACCTTAACATCCAACGTTGTGTCACAGGCATACTTGTTAAAAATGCCAAAGAAATGAGGCCTCAGAAACTTAAAACACACAAAATCCATTTGCTTTTTGTCATTTTATGCTTCACTTACGAAAATACAAGGCTGTTACCTACTGAACTCCTGTGTTTACTACCTCCATGAAAATCAGAACGTGAATGATTTTATATTTCTGTAAACAGCCAGTGTACCAGTAATTATCTATTTGAAGGGTAATGCATCCTTTCAATACCATTTGGGCTGGCTCTCAAAGCATCTGCTGAAAAAAGTCTCATCCAGGCATGCTCACAGAACAACTCCATGGTCTGCCCGGGGGCCAGGAGACAGCCTGTGCCGACCCGGGGCCACACAATCAAACCACCTTGTTAGCTGGCTGGGGGCTCAGAGGTCCCGTCGGGGAGCCAGCTGCCCAGGCAGACTCAAGCTCCTCTTGCTGCTGCTGTTCAGCCACCCGTGGGCCAAAGGAAGAGGCGGCAGAGGATACGGCACAATGAAGGGTTACAGCCTCCTGAAAAGAAGGCGTAGACCGAGGAGAGGCTGCAGAAAGAGAGGTGGAATGAAGGCACAGGAGCAGGAAAGTAATGTTTCTTTGGACTTGCATTGATAAATGGGACTTTCTAAAAAGACGTCTCACTAATTCACATCAAACACGTAACGAAAACTTCACAGAGTAGGGTCATTATCCATAACAAGGAAAACAAGTAGCTCAGCCAAATTTTCAGTGTGATAAAAACCAACTTCAAGCCTTTTCTATTCACCATGTGTTACAAAGACACAGGGCAGTCTTAGTACTGGGCTACACGTCACAGGCTCATCCCTGCAAAATACAGGAAAACATCAAAATGCCAGAATAACTTTTAGCCTACCCAGTACCTGAAACTCTTGTATTTTTATTACAGATTTTCAGTTTAAAAAAGGAGAAAATTAAAGTTGCTTCAGTCTGCAGAAATCTGCTTGGACTGGAGCACACCCTTCTCTTTTCTGACCTGAACCAAATTGCGAAGCTTTATCCAACTCACATGTGCTGAGCCAGCATTTTCTCCAAAGAAACTCTTATTCTTCCCTTGTTCCTGCCCTCCACACAAATAGTCAGACAGCCATGCACCAAGCCCAGGAAAAAAACAAAACAAAACAAAAAAACCACCAAAAAACCCAAAACAGTCAGTTTTAAACACAGAAAGGCTCCTTAATTCAGTTTGTCTTGTAACCACACAAGCCACCCTCAATGCAAAGGAAGATGGGAAAGCAAGCATCAAGGCTACTGGTTTCCCAGCTCATAACACATCAAAAATTACAGACGGAGAACAAGGCCATACCAAGTCCCAAGTAGGACTGAACCTTTCAAAGTAGAAGTAAGCTTTACAGTTCATTGTATCTACTTTTTAACCCTAACTGAAGCTGCACGTCTCACGATGAGACGCCTGTACATAGGGATTTCTAGTTCTACAGATTTATTTCATTTTCACAAAATATTTTGAAAAAGAAAGTGACAGAAGATTACATACATCCCCCCCTCTTAAATGGCAGAAGTTTACAGAGCCATAAGAGTGCTGTCACTCCAAAAAGACTACAGTACTCATCTTAATTCTGATCTCTGGAAGGATCCAAAATAGTAGTCTAAGCCTCTTTGAAAGAAGACGTAAGATTTTTAGACAAAACTGACTTTTTTGAGAGAAAACAATATAATGCTTGACCCAGACAACAGAATCTTCTAAATAAATCCACTGAAGTTGCTCACTAGCATAATTCTGTCATTTTCGATTCACCCCAAGTCCTTAGAAACACAAGGCTCCTCCAACACCGCATCAAAGCTGAAACGCATTCCCTAAGATGCAACTGAATTGCGCGTACTTTGGTGGTATTTGGACTGTATGCTACCTTAATCTCATTCTAAAAACCAGGTTTATTGCCTAAATTCCACTGCAGTTTCTTTCATCCGTATGCCGGTTGCCCTCCAGAAAAATCGATTGTCGAACTTTAACAAGAGTTAGCTGCAAGCTAAACTTCGGAAAGACTTCAAAACCTTCACCCTCCTCCACCTCCTCCTTTGAAAGCCATCTTCCCCACCGACCAAGAAGTCCGGTTACTGTCTGCCGCAAAAATCTCTGTTTAAAAAAAAAAAAAAGAAAAAAGAAAAGCAAGGGAGGACC